TAGTAACGAAATATAAAATGTACAATTTACGGCCGCCGACTACAAGCCGGTGCTATTTAATAATCTTGGGAGTCCGCCCTCTTCGAGGAATGGGATATTAAGTCGGATATTTCAATACGCGCTTATTTATATTTTATTTATTTATTCAGGTTACCTCGCAGCGCCTAACTAAGGCATTATTGCGAGGGAGGGATGCACATACATGAGCAAATGTACAAAATCAAAGGGCACGATAACATGAGCGCGCAAAACAGATTTGTAGTATTTACATGGTATACTCAGTTGAACAGTTGCATGGGCATGAGAACGCACAAATCAGTTGAGGAAGTCAGCATTTACAATATTATCGAAGAACAAAGCTGTAGATGTGATGTTGATTGTATCTTCCGGTAGAGAGTTCAGTGTCGGTTGTTGTAGAGGGAAAAAAATAAGATTTAAATACATCCGTCCTACAGTGGTACTCTCTCACTTTTTTTGAGGGATCTCTTCTTCCTGATGTTAAGTGGGGAGGCAGCATGTAGTTAGCTTTATTTATGCCGAGGTAATTATGAAATATGCTATGATACAACTCTAAGCGCATACACTTCCTTCTGTGGGCCAATGAGACTAAATGCAGTTCTCTTTTTAGCTGACTAATATTCGATCTAAAATTGTAATTACTTGCTATAAACCTAGCTGCTCTATTTTGTACTTTCTCCAGTTGGTTCACAAGGTATGCCTGGCTAGGGTCCCAAGAAACACTTGCGTATTCTAAGATAGGTCTGATATATGTCAGATATAATGTGCTTTTAATGTTCATATGGCAGTCTCTGAAGTTTCTTTTAATAAAGTTAAGCATGCGAGTTGCTTTTGCGGTTATGTAGTCCAGGCGTTTTATCCAGGTAAGGCTTGCTGAAAAATATACACCAAGGTATTTTATATCTGATACTGTCGCCAAAGAGTTTCCGCTGATGTCATACGTAAATAAGATAGGCTTGCGCTTGCGCGTAAAACGTACGTGATTACATTTATTTATGTTTAACTTCATGCCCCATGTGTCGCACCAGGCTGAGATATGGCGGATATCATCTTGCAGTGCCCAACAGTCGGCAATTTCCCGAACTTCAGAATAGACTACACAGTCATCCGCATAGAGCCTTATCTTTGATTTCAGTGACTGGGTAATATCATTGATAAAAATCAAAAATAAAAGCGGTCCCAATACCGACCCTTGTGGGACTCCGGATGTGACTGGTACCTGGGCTGAGTGCTTGCCTTTGATTAAAACTGATTGTTTTCTCTGGTGTAGATAGTCGGTCAGCCATGTGATAATGTTAGTCGGTAAGTTTAATGTGAAAAGTTTATGGATGATAAGGGCATGAGGCACTGTATCAAACGCTTTCTGAAAATAAAAAAAATATGCAATCTACTTGAAGTCTGTTGTCAAATGAATATTCAAGATCGTGATAAAACTCAATCAGCTGCGTTTCACAAGAAAATCCCTTTCTAAAGCCGTGTTGCGAGGGAGTGAGATAGCTATTTTTACTTAGATGACTGTAAGCATTGCTGTAGATTATATGTTCCATTAGTTTAGAACAGGTGCACAGAAGAGAAATGGGTCTGTAATTTTGAACAACATTTTTTGGTCCATCCTTATGGATCGGAACAACGTTTGCCGTTTTCCACTCGCTCGGGAGTTTTTCACTGGAAAGCGACTTTTTGAAAAATATTTCTAAATGTGATGAGATGATGCCGGAACATTCAGTTAGAATACGATAGGGTATACCATCGGGACCGCCTGCTTTGTCTGTTTTAGTCCATTTACCATTGTTAAGATACCGGTGTAAGAAATTTCAATTTCATCCATTCTGTTTAGGGAGATATCATAAGAGAGCGAATACTCATTAGAAACTGCGGGCGAAAATACCGATTGAAAGTAATTATTAAAGAGTGTCGCTTTCTCTTCTTCTGTAACAGCTTGACCACTGTCACTAATCGGGGGAATTCCGAGTGCTACTTTGTTTTTTGACTTTACATATTTCCAAAACTCCTTTGGGTTACTTTTCAGTTTATCATTTAAAGACGCATGAAATCTGAGTTTGCATTCAGCCGACATAGATTTGAATTGTTTACTTACAATGTTTAACTGTGAAAGAGAACAATTATCGTTGTTTTTGCGGTATCTCAAATATGCTCGCCTTTTTCTTTTGTGCAAAGAGCGTAGTTCCCCGGTCATCCACGGTTTGTCTCTGCGTCACGTGGAGCTTAGTACTTTGGAAGGGATGAATGCAGTAACTAAAGAATTTAATTTATTCTTAAAGAGATTCCACAGAGCTTCGACATCTAGTAGGTGGGAAAGCTCTATAAACTCGGGGAAATAGTCACAAAGATTACTTGAGATGCCCTGGTAGTTACCGCAATTATAGAAGAAAACTTTTCTAGGTGGATTTGGCCCACTGGTTTCGGACGCGCTGGTTATGCCCCCAATTATTATTTCATGATTGCTAATACCAGGAATACTGGACAGAGACGTTATGAGGCCCCTTCTACTACTAAAAAGCAGATCCAACGTACTCGCCCTCGTTTTGCCTAGCCTCGTCGGGAATGAGACATGCTGATAAAGCTCAAAGCTGGAAATAAAATTAAGGAAAGTCCTGTAAGCGGAAGAAGTATTCGACGTTATGGGTTGACCGTCTGCCCACTCCACATCAGGTAAATTAAAATCACCACTAAGCACAAGGTCGCCATAGTTTCTAGATGACATTATATCAAAAAGGGGAAGGATTGTAGTTTCGTTTGAACCAGGAGGCCTATAAAAAGAGCCCACAGCAATACATTCGGCATTTTCTAATGCAATCTTACACCATACAGATTCGCAATTCAAACCAGCAAACGTGATCTCCGAACTTTGTAAACTGTCGTGAACTAACACAAAGACACCACCGCCATGCTTGTTTCTGTCTCGGCGGTACGCCACATATTCGGGAGGAAACACTTCAGTGTCGCTAATAGAATCGTCCAGCCAGCACTCAGTGCCAATGACGATACTTGGTTTAGTTAGAGCAATGGCGTCAGCCAAGTCATCCACTTTATTTTTCATACTGCGACAGTTCACAATCGCGACGATAAGTTCACGCGCAGTTCTTATCTTGCGCCCAGCCGGCGACGGTGATTGCTAGGCATTCATTTCTTTTACACGCCTTTCAGTGTTATCAAAGTAGTAGCGCTGTGATTTGCTGTGATTTAGCAAACTCTACCAGCTGCACTGGCGGATCCAGGGGGGGGGGGGGGGGGCCAGGGGGCCCGGGCCCCCCCGAGAGATATCATCACCCCCCCCCCCCCCCGGCCCGCGATGCTGCGCGGACTGCGTAGGCCAGAACCTGGCTCGAAACTTTGACGGATTCAGAACGTTTGTATCCGAGTACCGGCAATTCGAAATGTCCTTTCCTGTGACTTGCCAGTTAATTAAGGTGATAAGCAGAGGCCCCCAGCGTCAAAGCGCACCGGCGCACCTACACCCTCGTGACAACGCGGAGTAGAAAAAAAGAAAAGCAACGAGCCTGTTTCCATTTGACAATGGCTACGTTTCCATGGATGCGACCATGGCGCATCGAATCGAGATGTGACCAGTCACGCGCCCGCGATCCTCCTTTCCCTTCCTCGTCTACCCAATCATAGGCGGTTAATCTCGATTCGATTCGCTACGATCGCATCCATGTAAACTCAGCCAATGGGCTTTTGAGAGTAGCGACCTTCTGTCATGAATTTCAGTATTTGTTTGTTGCTTTATTTTGGTTGTGTCTCTGTTCAGCGCGCGTTTTTCTTTCTCACTAAAACCCCCATATGGAACTCTTTGGATTCCATCCCTGTCGATTCCCGCTTCCATTTATCGGATTATCTTTGGAGGCGCCCGCGTCTCTGCCGCTAGGACAAGGCCGCCGGGCAGCTCATTGTCTCCTTCCTGAAAGGGAGAAATTGTAGACATCCGTTTCTGTCAAGGCCAGTTGCCGGGAGATTTTATTTTTATATTTTGCTCGGGTAGCTTGGTGCGAGTAGGAAATAATTTCCCCCGACCTCGAGCTCGGAGACCCTGGTAGGTGGCGGGAGAAGGGCGGACCCCCGTAAGGCCGGTCAGGTTGGCTGGTCGCTCCACCCGTCGTCTGTTCCCGTGAGTCGTACGGGCTTCGGTTTTTCCCTTTTCGGGGAGTGAGTGTGTGTGCGGGGCTGCGTTGCGTCGACTGCCGAGCACCCAGTCCACCACGCCGGAAAAGTCAAGCCTTCGTCGTCCGTCGGACCCAAGACGTCGGTGAGTCTTCGGACTTCGTTTGAACCACGGTTGAACTTTCCCCTGGACTTTGGGTTCACCAGTGGAGCTTTTCCTTCCTCGGAACTTTTGTTTTCTAGGCATAGGTGAACGTTGTTCCCGGCTGCATTTGTGCCGCGAGCGGCGAGTTGTTTCGCGTTGTGTCGGGAATTGAGTGCTGTTTTGTTCTTCGGGGCCCCGCCGCCCGAAGTTTCATCAGTGTGTTGTGGGTGTAACGCGTGTTGCGTTTGGTTGAGTTGTTCGTGCGCAGCCGTGCGCGGCTTTTTATCGCTTCTTATTAAATTTCTTGTTCTTTTATCCCTGCGTGTCGTCGCCTTTCTCTACTTAACACCGGGCGTGGACCTATCGCTTGCCACCGGTCAGAGCCGGACGGAGATGGCCGGACCCGGATGAGACCTTTCCTCCTTTCAAAATATTATTCGCGATGCGCCAGCACGTGGTCACGCGCTCGCTGATGGCTCTAGGGAGACAGCTTCAGCGGAACTCCGCGCGACCCCCATTGACGTCACAGCGCACGTGATTCGGGAAGATGGTGACGTAGTTGAGAGGTGCCGAAAGCCTCAATCTTTGTCTATTTTTAAAATAAAGACTAGGACATGCAGACAAAAGCGTTTTTTTTTTATCTTTACTTCCGAAAGGTCGAGACAACAACTCCCAAATTATCTGAGCAAAGCAGTGAAATTGTTGCACAGCTCCTTTAAATCAAGATTCCGTTATCCCTTGCTTCGAAGCGGGAGATATTGCAATCGTGTTTTGAATTGCGACACTTCGTGTCGTTGAAAAGGAAAGACCACTCTCTACTTTTTATACGTGTGTTTATACAAAGATCCAACACACAATGTGGTGTGCAGCAAGTGTTCCCTCCCCCCCCTCCCCCCTCTTTCTTTTTATGCTGGGGCCCCCCCTTGGGGGATCCTCTGGATCCGCCCCTGACCAGCTGCTTGCGTTCGTACCTAACTTTGTCTGAAAAATATTCGCCGACAGAGAAGTTACTATTTTTGAGTTTGAATCCACGGGACAGAACATGCTGTTTAACCTTAAAAGATTGGAAGTTCACAATTATCGGCCTTATTCGTTCTGGATTAGGGCGGCCAAGACTGTGCGCACGTTCGATGTCACTTGCTGCCACAGTCACCTCAAGTTTGTCGTTACAGAACTGAAATACTTTTGATTCTGATTGGAACCATGTTTCGTTAGGTTCATCTATAATGCCATAAAAAAGTAGATTATTTCTTCTCGACCTGTTTTCCAGGTTGTCTTGTTTAGAGCAGACCGAGGCAAGCTGAGTGGATAGCCTGGTTGACTGTGCGCCGACATCCTGCATTTCATCCTTAAAGCTTTCTAGCAAGGCGATATCCGTTTCCATTGCATGGAACTTCACGTTTAGTGCTTCTATCTTCTTATCCAGTAGAACTTGGTTTTTATTTATTTCTGCCACTTGACTTAGAAGCGCTTCTTGTCCCTTATCTAATTTTGGTAATAAATCAACAGCTTTCAGCAATTTTTGAATTTGATCGTCGGTGAGGGGTCCAGGGTTAACTTCAACGTCACCAGAGATTAGCAACATCAACTCCACAACCGTAGCACAAGGATTGGATAGCACTTTACGGCACCAAAAGCACAAGTTCTCAAGGAGACAGGGGAACGATGCCGGCTGGCGTTTCCGCGAGCAACGACCAACTTCGTAATAAACAGGACAAACCTGAAGTAGAAGAAGGCGTAAGCGTACTGCGCACGTCATGCCGGCACCGAACCCCATCCGAAGTGTGAGTGATGCGTCCTTTTGTAGGCTGGGGTCATACGATGTACCGCTCCGTTGCCAGACGCGCAAGTCCTCTTGCAGAAAAACCGCTGATGTTGGTTGCTGCGATGAAAACTGGTGGCTTTCTTCCGATCCACGCGGTTCCGAGGTTTGACCATGATACGTTGGTTCACTGGCCCATGCAACAGCAGCGATCTGAAGTAGAAGAAGGCGTAAGCGTACTGCGCACGTCATGCCGGCACCGAACCCCATCCGAAGCGTGAGTGATGCGTCCTTTTGTAGGCTGGGGTCATACGATGTACCGCTCCGTTGCCAGACGCGCCAGTCCTCTTGCAGAAAAACCGCTGATGTTGGTTGCTGCGATGAAAACTGGTGGCTTTCTTCCGATCCACGCGGTTCCGAGGTTTGACCATGATACGTTGGTTCACTGGCCCATGCAACAGCAGCGATCTGAAGTAGAAGAAGGCGTAAGCGTACTGCGCACGTCATGCCGGCACCGAACCCCATCCGAAGCGTGAGTGATGCGTCCTTTTGTAGGCTGTGGTCATACGATGTACCGCTCCGTTGCCAGACGCGCCAGTCATCTTGCAGAAAAACCGCTGATGTTGGTTGCTGCGATGAAAACTGGTGGCTTTCTTCCGATCCACGCGGTTCCGAGGTTTGACCATGATACGTTGGTTCACTGGCCCATGCAACAGCAGCGATCTGAAGTAGAAGAAGGCGTAAGCGTACTGCGCACGTCATGCCGGCACCGAACCCCATCCGAAGCGTGAGTGATGCGTCCTTTTGTAGGCTGGGGTCATACGATGTACCGCTCCGTTGCCAGACGCGCAAGTCCTCTTGCAGAAAAACCGCTGATGTTGGTTGCTGCGATGAAAACTGGTGGCTTTCTTCCGATCCACGCGGTTCCGAGGTTTGACCATGATACGTTGGTTCACTGGCCCATGCAACAGCAGCGATCTGAAGTAGAAGAAGGCGTAAGCGTACTGCGCACGTCATGCCGGCACCGAACCCCATCCGAAGCGTGAGTGATGCGTCCTTTTGTAGGCTGTGGTCATACGATGTACCGCTCCGTTGCCAGACGCGCCAGTCATCTTGCAGAAAAACCGCTGATGTTGGTTGCTGCGATGAAAACTGGTGGCTTTCTTCCGATCCACGCGGTTCCGAGGTTTGACCATGATACGTTGGTTCACTGGCCCATGCAACAGCAGCGATCTGAAGTAGAAGAAGGCGTAAGCGTACTGCGCACGTCATGCCGGCACCGAACCCCATCCGAAGCGTGAGTGATGCGTCCTTTTGTAGGCTGGGGTCATACGATGTACCGCTCCGTTGCCAGACGCGCCAGTCCTCTTGCAGAAAAACCGCTGATGTTGGTTGCTGCGATGAAAACTGGTGGCTTTCTTCCGATCCACGCGGTTCCGAGGTTTGACCATGATACGTTGGTTCACTGGCCCATGCAACAGCAGCGATCTGAAGTAGAAGAAGGCGTAAGCGTACTGCGCACGTCATGCCGGCACCGAACCCCATCCGAAGCGTGAGTGATGCGTCCTTTTGTAGGCTGTGGTCATACGATGTACCGCTCCGTTGCCAGACGCGCCAGTCATCTTGCAGAAAAACCGCTGATGTTGGTTGCTGCGATGAAAACTGGTGGCTTTCTTCCGATCCACGTGGTTCCGAGGTTTGACCATGATACGTTGGTTCACTGGCCCATGCAACAGCAGCGATCTGAAGTAGAAGAAGGCGTAAGCGTACTGCGCACGTCATGCCGGCACCGAACCCCATCCGAAGCGTGAGTGATGCGTCCTTTTGTAGGCTGGGGTCATACGATGTACCGCTCCGTTGCCAGACGCGCAAGTCCTCTTGCAGAAAAACCGCTGATGTTGGTTGCTGCGATGAAAACTGGTGGCTTTCTTCCGATCCACGCGGTTCCGAGGTTTGACCATGATACGTTGGTTCACTGGCCCATGCAACAGCAGCGATCTGAAGTAGAAGAAGGCGTAAGCGTACTGCGCACGTCATGCCGGCACCGAACCCCATCCGAAGCGTGAGTGATGCGTCCTTTTGTAGGCTGTGGTCATACGATGTACCGCTCCGTTGCCAGACGCGCCAGTCATCTTGCAGAAAAACCGCTGATGTTGGTTCCTGCGATGAAAACTGGTGGCTTTCTTCCGATCCACGCGGTTCCGAGGTTTGACCATGATACGTTGGTTCACTGGCCCATGCAACAGCAGCGATCTGAAGTAGAAGAAGGCGTAAGCGTACTGCGCACGTCATGCCGGCACCGAACCCCATCCGAAGCGTGAGTGATGCGTCCTTTTGTAGGCTGTGGTCATACGATGTACCGCTCCGTTGCCAGACGCGCAAGTCCTCTTGCAGAAAAACCGCTGATGTTGGTTACTGCGATGAAAACTGGTGGCTTTCTTCCGATCCACGTGGTTCCGAGGTTTGACCATGATACGTTGGTTCACTGGCCCATGCAACAGCAGCGATCTGAAGTAGAAGAAGGCGTGAGCGTACTGCGCACGTCATGCCGGCACCGAACCCCATCCGAAGCGTGAGTGATGCGTCCTTTTGTAGGCTGGGGTCATACGATGTACCGCTCCGTTGCCAGACGCGCCAGTCCTCTTGCAGAAAAACCGCTGATGTTGGTTGCTGCGATGAAAACTGGTGGCTTTCTTCCGATCCACGCGGTTCCGAGGTTTGACCATGATACGTTGGTTCACTGGCCCATGCAACAGCAGCGATCTGAAGTAGAAGAAGGCGTAAGCGTACTGCGCACGTCATGCCGGCACCGAACCCCATCCGAAGCGTGAGTGATGCGTCCTTTTGTAGGCTGGGGTCATACGATGTACCGCTCCGTTGCCAGACGCGCCAGTCATCTTGCAGAAAAACCGCTGATGTTGGTTGCTGCGATGAAAACTGGTGGCTTTCTTCCGATCCACGCGGTTCCGAGGTTTGACCATGATACGTTGGTTCACTGGCCCATGCAACAGCAGCGATCTGAAGTAGAAGAAGGCGTAAGCGTACTGCGCACGTCATGCCGGCACCGAACCCCATCCGAAGCGTGAGTGATGCGTCCTTTTGTAGGCTGGGGTCATACGATGTACCGCTCCGTTGCCAGACGCGCAAGTCCTCTTGCAGAAAAACCGCTGATGTTGGTTGCTGCGATGAAAACTGGTGGCTTTCTTCCGATCCACGCGGTTCCGAGGTTTGACCATGATACGTTGGTTCACTGGCCCATGCAACAGCAGCGATCTGAAGTAGAAGAAGGCGTAAGCGTACTGCGCACGTCATGCCGGCACCGAACCCCATCCGAAGCGTGAGTGATGCGTCCTTTTGTAGGCTGTGGTCATACGATGTACCGCTCCGTTGCCAGACGCGCCAGTCATCTTGCAGAAAAACCGCTGATGTTGGTTGCTGCGATGAAAACTGGTGGCTTTCTTCCGATCCACGCGGTTCCGAGGTTTGACCATGATACGTTGGTTCACTGGCCCATGCAACAGCAGCGATCTGAAGTAGAAGAAGGCGTAAGCGTACTGCGCACGTCATGCCGGCACCGAACCCCATCCGAAGCGTGAGTGATGCGTCCTTTTGTAGGCTGTGGTCATACGATGTACCGCTCCGTTGCCAGACGCGCAAGTCCTCTTGCAGAAAAACCGCTGATGTTGGTTGCTGCGATGAAAACTGGTGGCTTTCTTCCGATCCACGCGGTTCCGAGGTTTGACCATGATACGTTGGTTCACTGGCCCATGCAACAGCAGCGATCTGAAGTAGAAGAAGGCGTAAGCGTACTGCGCACGTCATGCCGGCACCGAACCCCATCCGAAGCGTGAGTGATGCGTCCTTTTGTAGGCTGGGGTCATACGATGTACCGCTCCGTTGCCAGACGCGCCAGTCCTCTTGCAGAAAAACCGCTGATGTTGGTTGCTGCGATGAAAACTGGTGGCTTTCTTCCGATCCACGCGGTTCCGAGGTTTGACCATGATACGTTGGTTCACTGGCCCATGCAACAGCAGCGATCTGAAGTAGAAGAAGGCGTAAGCGTACTGCGCACGTCATGCCGGCACCGAACCCCATCCGAAGCGTGAGTGATGCGTCCTTTTGTAGGCTGGGGTCATACGATGTACCGCTCCGTTGCCAGACGCGCCAGTCCTCTTGCAGAAAAACCGCTGATGTTGGTTGCTGCGATGAAAACTGGTGGCTTTCTTCCGATCCACGCGGTTCCGAGGTTTGACCATGATACGTTGGTTCACTTGCCCATGCAACAGCAGCGATCTGAAGTAGAAGAAGGCGTAAGCGTACTGCGCACGTCATGCCGGCACCGAACCCCATCCGAAGCGTGAGTGATGCGTCCTTTTGTAGGCTGTGGTCATACGATGTACCGCTCCGTTGCCAGACGCGCAAGTCCTCTTGCAGAAAAACCGCTGATGTTGGTTGCTGCGATGAAAACTGGTGGCTTTCTTCCGATCCACGCGGTTCCGAGGTTTGACCATGATACGTTGGTTCACTGGCCCATGCAACAGCAGCGATCTGAAGTAGAAGAAGGCGTAAGCGTACTGCGCACGTCATGCCGGCACCGAACCCCATCCGAAGCGTGAGTGATGCGTCCTTTTGTAGGCTGGGGTCATACGATGTACCGCTCCGTTGCCAGACGCGCCAGTCCTCTTGCAGAAAAACCGCTGATGTTGGTTGCTGCGATGAAAACTGGTGGCTTTCTTCCGATCCACGCGGTTCCGAGGTTTGACCATGATACGTTGGTTCACTGGCCCATGCAACAGCAGCGATCTGAAGTAGAAGAAGGCGTAAGCGTACTGCGCACGTCATGCCGGCACCGAACCCCATCCGAAGCGTGAGTGATGCGTCCTTTTGTAGGCTGTGGTCATACGATGTACCGCTCCGTTGCCAGACGCGCCAGTCATCTTGCAGAAAAACCGCTGATGTTGGTTGCTGCGATGAAAACTGGTGGCTTTCTTCCGATCCACGTGGTTCCGAGGTTTGACCATGATACGTTGGTTCACTGGCCCATGCAACAGCAGCGATCTGAAGTAGAAGAAGGCGTAAGCGTACTGCGCACGTCATGCCGGCACCGAACCCCATCCGAAGCGTGAGTGATGCGTCCTTTTGTAGGCTGGGGTCATACGATGTACCGCTCCGCTGCCAGACGCGCAAGTCCTCTTGCAGAAAAACCGCTGATGTTGGTTGCTGCGATGAAAACTGGTGGCTTTCTTCCGATC